TTCTTCTTTTTGGATATTGTGGAAATTTCAATTTTGGGAAGCTTTTGAGCATTCTTTCGGAAGCAATTCTTTATCTTTTATGGAACTATCGTGAAATCTCACAGTGGGTAGTGTTTATACTGCAGAAAATGTTTTCTTCCGAAATGAAGACTTTTCAAGCAAACTGTGGCCTCGCTGGATGCATAATCGAAACTTTTTAAGCTGAATATACAAAAAATTCTTCTTTTTGGATATTGTGGAAATTTCAATTTTGGGAAGCATCTTTTGAGCATTCTTTCGGAAGCGACCAGTATGACGCGGAGGCGGTGTCTAATTGAGATGTTCATTCCTTTACCCTCTTCTTTGTTTCAATTTTCCCGAGTAAAACAAAAGAGGCTTCAAAATGGAGATCCAAGATTAAAAATCCGGTTTTGGCATTTTTTTCTGTCTGCGCATTTTTCATTTGATCATAAAACTAATCAACAAACGACAGCTGGCTGATTATGGAAGGTAATAGCAAAAGGCCGATTTTGTTGTTTTGGAAGAAGTGGAAGGGGCAAAAGAGATTTTTCAAATGGAGGGTGACGTTAGTCACGAGTTTATGGGATGCTTCGGGCTCAAGTGCCCCCCCCCCCCTAAAAATAGGCTAATTCTAGTTTATGGAAATACTTCAATTATTCACAAGAGGTGACCGAATTTCTGCACTTTCTCTAAGTCATGTTTACGTTCGAAATATTGACAAGGTGGTGCTGGTCAATCAACCCCCTATCCCTCTTTCTTTGACCAGCTGACGTCATTCTCAATTGCGAACAGAGCAGTTTCTTGCAGCAATTGTTCACGCTCGCTTCTAATGCCTCTCAAATTGAATTGCAAATTTTCAAGTGAAAATAAAAATCCGATATTTTGTAAACACAACCCATATCTTTTGAATATTCCCTGAACGCGATGTTCTCTTTCAAGCCTCTCCTTAGGTGGAAATAATGTGGGTGAAGTAGAGGAATTTCTGCGCGATATAATCAAGGGTTAAGGACCGGGCATACTTTACGCGAATCCAGTCGCGATGCGATTTGGCAATTCGCCAGAAGCCTTCAAATCCAACACTAGCAAACTGCACATGCTTAGTGTGTATAACATACGTGGATTGATAAAATGCCCTATCTTTTGTACATTTGAAATGTGCTTACAGTGAGGTTATGGACAGTTGGAATATTGCCAAATCGCGTCGCGACTGAAATCGCGTGAAGTATGCCCGGCCCTCTAGGTTTTTAGCTAAATAGTTAGCCATAGTGTTAGTGGATGCCGGTAGGGACTAAACGGTAAGAGTAGCGTTGTGAAGTGAACCACGAGAAGAGAGTCGCGTTGAGACCGACCGGTTCGGCTACCAAAACAAATCGCACCACTCTCCAAAAGTCTACAACGTTTTCGGCACTACAATCCAATTCACATTCCACACTCTATAGAACAGAAAGGAAACGACTCGGAAATGTGTTCAAAAACGCCTTTAAAATTAGTATTAGGTTCGAAAAAAAAAGAGTTCCGTTCTTATAGCAAAGTAATAAGACAAATTTTAGAAGAATATAGAAGGGTATTTTTCGATGAAGCAGAGAAAGCTCTGCACAAGGTGACCTTTGCAGAAGTAGCTTGATTTACGCATGGTTTACCGCAAAATAGGAGCAATTCAGGACGCCAAGAATCGGATAAAAATTCCTACGAAATTTTTACTTGCTTCTGCACACACGACTTATTCATAGGTACACTTACTATATTTGTTTCGTGCTTGAAAATACTGAATTGAGCACTGAAAAGAAAGACCGAAAATGGCAAACTCCGCTTCCAGTAGTCCTGGGATCCTCCCGAATTGCCTTTGTATGCTGCACTCAGAAATTTAACCCCAACATTTTGACCTTGGATATGTTCTTTACGAAATATCAATTTTGACTCGAAAAACTGAAAAGAACGATATACATTTCTTTCCAACTTGATACATTTTGATGAGCGAGAACTTTTTAAAAAATTGTCTTTTGGTAACGTTTTCATTAATCATGTCTGATCTCTTACTGAGTCATCATCAATCCTGAACATTCTGGTGATTTTCGATAATTCGTCCCAAATGAAACAGCTCCTGCACCACATTGAAAACATTTTATGCATATATAAAAAAGTCTTTTCTTATGAATCGAAAGCATATGGAAGCTTTTTTAAGATTTGCTGACACAAATATAAAGAAATAGTGATAAACGCATATCAACGAAATTACGATTTTTTCATAGTGACTATCAAAGGAGCGTCAGAAATTGGTACTGATCTGAAGAGAAAGTGACCCATAAGCCAAAAACGGCAGCATATGATATAGATTTGAATTTTTAGTAGACCTAAGGTGGATCCGATTCCGATCGTGGGCTTGACATATCCTTGGACTTCCGACGAAGAATACTACTGAACATTGAATGTAGTCGGCTCCTTCTGTAAAATTTCACCATTGAGAACCATTTTGAATGCTGCTAGTGACTGGACCTTGTTGGTGGACTGTCTGTATTTTCTTCCATCGACAAAGCATGGCTGCTTTCACTTGGCTCTTCACATTCTTCCACGGTAGAGGGAACTTGCTCGGGTATTAGAGAACCTAAATAGAGCGGTGTAAAAAATTCATCAGATTGTAATTTACTCAGAAACATGTTTTCTTTTTACAACAAAAATCTATTGCTACTAATTTCTTTAGATTTTCCAGTTCTCAAGTTAAGAAGGTGTTTTATAATTTTGTTCAAAAATCTCATATATTCGAAATCAGTGTACGCCTATTAAATGCTTGAGTTTAGTTGGTCTAACGGGGCTTCGCCATTGCTTGAGCCTCAGTTTTTATAATCTGATCATTAATCTTGGCTTCTTCGCTCAGTTGTGCCCCTGAGCAATCATTGTGATCAAACAAAGTGCTGGATAGAATCAAGGATGTCTCATATGACACGTAATACAGCCAGGGCTCTGCATGAGACCGTTTGTGGGCGTTTCGCAAACGAAGCCCCCCCTTGACTTTCTTCACAATTTACGAAGTCCCCTATGACCCCAAACCATATCTGTAAAAAAACCTTGAAAAACAAAACGTCGACTAAAAAAAGCCGTAATTTTTGCTCTTTTCTGCCACAAAAACGATATTTCTTTTGCTTTTTTGCTCTAAAAACAAAGCCAGCTCGTTTCCATACGATCTGTGCCGAATACCCTGAATACATCTAAACTCATCTAAATGCTGCTTTGAGAAAATTCGTTAGAACAATAAAAATATTGAGTTTTTGACTTTTTCGTGGTATTCAACAATAGACTCTGCTTTACTAGAATGAAGGTTTAGAAGCACAAAGCGACGTGTTCGCTTACCTGGATCTAAATCTCACTGAACTATCAATGGGGCTAGCTTGCCCAAGTGCTATGCGATCTTCAAGCTCTTCTAGGGCCTCTATGTCGACAACCGATGGCCGTGATGGGGAAAGCCGTAGCCGACCCAGACCTAAGTTGACAATTTCACTTTAATAGTTGAAAAATAAGAGATTTTGTAAATGCTTACTAGAATAGCCGGGCTGCAGTGTCTCTGGCAGTTCCAACCGAGTTCTTTGGAAAAGATTTGCATCGAATGATTTTGATATTACTACCTGAACGATGTACACTGTAATTTGATGAAATTTCAATGGAGCACTTACATGACTATTGCTTTCATCACTCGAAGACGTGGTTGCACCAGAGTTCTGGCTGATACCCGATTCTTCCCGGACAAGATCCGTGAGCACAAGAATGTCACCATCTTCAGTGTCAACCATCTGCATGACGTCATCTATGGACAAGGTTCGGGGCAAGAATCGCATCCTAAAAAGATTTCAATTGGCTTTGGAGCGTACTTAGGCAAATGTTGATACGCGAGCTTTCATGTAGATAATTGGGAGGCTTTAACTGAGTCAATTCTCAAAGGACAGTTCATAAAAGTCACTAGTGACCAAGAACATTCAATTTCCTGGACTTTCACCATTATTGTAGCAAAGCTTTCGAAAAATTACGGTACTGGACAAAAAATTTTTAGAGAAGGTAAAGGAATTCTAGTTCGAGTTCCAACAAGGTTTTGGTCAAGGAGGAGCTCGTAAACACACTCGTGACTGACAAAACTGAAATTTCTAAACTCTCGTCCGGTACCGTAATAGTACTTCCGTCCCGAAGGGTTACGCTAGTGGGCGAGAGATTCAAGTTGAATTTTCGGGGCAGGATTGAAAGATACGGGTACCGGAAAATCAAGGCAAAATCTCTTGATTTTCCGGTATCCGTATTTTTCATTCCGCTTCTGCAATGAATTGATTCAAAAAATTTACCTGGAGTTGGATACCGTCCTGCAGATATGAGAATTTGTACAGCTTGGCGATAGAAATGACAAAACTGTCTGGCGAGTTTTGTTGATCTTTTTCTTATTTGCCAGTGCTGCTTGCACGGGTTATTTATTCAATGAGTGCACTGACAATGAAGATTGGAACACACCTAAAGCAGGAACTATCGTAATCACCGCTAAAGTTTAGTTATACGTTACCTAAACTGCTGCCGCGTCGCTGTGGCCTACGGGTCGAGCAAGGCTGCTTCCAGCTCCTTTAGTTCTTGCATCCGACGTGCATTATGAATTCTCTCCAACTTTGCCTACAAAAAAATTTTATGGCGAGGGAAGGGACGAATGACTTTATTTTGCCTGAATCAAACTGATACACATAGAAATTAATGAGAGCCCAATGATAATGTAAATAAACAACATAAGCAGATATTTCGGCTGTGTTGGAGTAATGCCACTTAAATCGATTGTACTGTAACGGTTCACATGAGTATTAATTGCTCGCAAGGTTGCTTAGCTACCTCGAGGAAATGAAGAAAAAATAGAACGCAACGAAATAGTCCCAACTATGTTCCCAAATGCAGACCGTGGCCAAACAATGGAATATCCATGCAATCACAAGGGATATATCAATAAGCTTGTGCGATCACCTCACTTATCCTTCCTCTGCAACTAATTTTTTGATTTCTGCCATGGTATGTTTTGTGCAATAGAGAAACATTTGTCGATAACCGCATTTGATCAGCCATCATGGCGTTTTGAAGCATTTTGTAAGGAGCAATCCTGGGGAAGTTATAGTGAAAGACTTAGAAGGAGCATGCGCTACCCAGAAACAAGGCAGAAAAGAGCAAACCATTCAAAAAGAATCGCATTGACATGAATGTATTAGGTTGATGCATAATTCCTGCACCAAAATAGGTGCAGACCGCAATAAATCGGAATAATCCCATATCCCAAGTAGGATTCGATAGATCATTAGATAGCGTAAACCTAGGTCTACAAGATAGTGCTCAAATATCTACACCAGCTTTGATCCACGCGAAGTTTTGAACCGAAAACTGATAAAAAACCATGCGTTTGAAAACGTTAAGACCAATCAAAACAAAATTGTAACTTCGTTCAAAAAGCTCCTACAAAATTTCTTTCTTGTTCGCGCGTAGACATTCCACGTAAGACATCTATCTATGCGCTTCCTGTATTTTTTCCCAGCTAGACGATGAGAAAACGAAGTTTTTCATGTTTTTGCCAAATTAGTGCTGAGATGTTCCAGCACTAACAGTTGTATAGTACATGCCATTAGCAGTAAAACTTCACATTTTCAGCCTTCTAGATCTGCTAGTTCACGAGAAATGACGAATCCAGCTCTCTTCATCCGATTTTTTCTTGCATAGTTGCCAAAAATTCGATATTTCTCGTAAACCAGTTGCTGTAGAAAGCTGAAAATTCACAATCACGCTTTCAAGGCCCTATAGTATACAACTGTCGGTCCTAGAACATCTCAGCATTGTTTTGGAAAAAACATGAAAAACTTCGTTTTCTTGATTTTTAGCTGAGAGAAAAATACAGCAACTGCAGATGTCTTATACGAAATGACAATGCATGAGCAAGTTAAAAATTTTGAAGGATTTTTCTGCACTGACTTCCAATTTTTTCTTGATTTTTTGGGGCGCTTGGTTCTTTTTTGTTTTTGGCTTCAATCTTCGCTTGGATCAAAGCTGCTGCAAAACTTTAGGCACTATCTTGTAGAGCTAGGTCTGCCTTATCTAATGATAGATCAAATCCTACTTGGGATACAGGATTATTCGGAGTTATTCCGGTCTGTACCTATTTTGGTACAGGAATTATGCATCAACCTAATAATAAGATGCAACGGAAAAGTGCCAGGTTGACACCAAAAAGTGCGGAATAAGCTAGAGGAAAAGGGGAACTCAGCGCTCAGTTTCAATAAATGCTACCAGCATATGTCAAATGAAAAATTATTTTGATCCTCAGAAGGAATTATAGTCTGAACAACAACTGAAATGCAGCTTATTTTCTCAGGAATGAAGCTACTGCCTCGAAAATTTAGCAAATTTCCTTTGAAAACCAACAAGGGGTGAAACGGCTTCAATTTCCTGCATTTTAATGATGAAACAGCGCTAAGAAGTTACGAAAAAAGCATGTAAAGTAGGACTCCAAAATGGAATTTTATCTTGAAAGAGAAGTTGTTATCACGGACGGATGGGGTTAGGGTTACCCAATAATTGCCCCTCACTTCACCGCCCTTCACTCCCTCATGATACTATCATCCTTATACCATCGTTCTTCCTTCTTTTACATTTATGAATTTTGGAAGTTCTAGAACCGAGCTGACGCCTTTTGGTAAACAGGAACGCTGCTTTTGATTTTATTTCGAGGAACTGCCAAACGGTAATTTATCACTGTTTCCAGCCAGTGTTCCCAGTGCGATTCTATGACCACTATAGAGTTCTGCTTCTAGCTGACAGAGTTCGGTTGAGAAGTTAAATAGGTCATAACGATTTTGTTCAAAATGTATTGGCTAGCGAATTTAGAAAATTCGTTTTTTTTTAAATTTTACGGTTCTTTGAACTTGCAAAAAAGCGCAGTGTTCAATTTTGTTTGGTACACTAAGCGCAGATCTTCTGCACTTGAAAGGAAGACAAAGTACTTCTTTTAGAGCCCTTTTGGAGCCTATGAAAACTGGAGACCGAGTTCGTCTGCAAGTCCCAGTGATTAGGTCATCGCTCATTGAGGTTGGGGCACCGCAGCGATAATGCTGCCGAAAAGTCTGCGGACATTGATAGACAAAGGGCAGTTGGATGGGATTTTGGGAATTATTCTATTGGGACTGGGATAATGCACGCATTGATTCGGAATAAAAAAAGTTTTTCGCTCTGATAGTCGGGAGAGATTTGGGCAGAAGTCCCCTTAGAGTTGTTTCATACTGTAGTCGCTGCAGCGGTTGCAGTCATATTAGGGCGGGCAAAAGATATCGGCAGAGGTGCGATAGTTGGAGCCGAGTCTCCGCCTACCTTCGCTTTTGAGCTGGTACAGAATGACCACCTTCACTTTTGGAATAAAAAATTTTTTCGCTGGACGAGGAAGAAGGAAAATAAGCAAAACAAACGCAAAAAAGATTGTAATACGGTTGTTTAAAGCTGTTAACCAAGGTTTGTAGCAAGGACTTTATTTATCGACAAGCCAACGTTTCGGCGGTCCGTCCGCCTTCTTCAGGGCTTCCTGAAAGATCGAGACTTTGAGAACTGCCGACTCAAACGCCGTGTTTGGCAATGGATTTAATTTGGCTATGTGATGGAGTGGCAGAGTAGATGTTAAAATATGTCATGAGAACCAGTGCTTTTAAGTCACTGTTACGATCTTGTCGCACGAGTCCGAGTTAATAGACTCGTGCGACAAGATATCGCACGAGTCTATTAACTCGTGCGATATCTTGTCTTGGACGCTATCCAAAAGGCCTCCAACGTTTTGCGTGCTAAACGTTGGAGGCCTTTTGGATAGCGTCCAAGACACCAAAAATGAATCGAAAAGATGAAGGCATTGCCATAAACAGTGAACTGTTCTCTTATCAAACACTATGTGATTTTGATAGAGATCTTCTATGACCATATAAAAGGCATTGTTGACACTGATTATCATACTCACTTATAGCGCAGCCAGCGCAGTACTGGTCGTTCGGTTCTATACATTCCGATCTAACATAGCTGAGGTCAGGCTTTTAACATCTACTCTGCCACTCCACATAGCCAAATTACTTCCATTGCCAAACACGGCGTTTGAGTCAGCAGTTCTCAAAGTCTCGATCTTTCAGGAAGCCCTGAAGAAGGCGGACGGACCGCCGAAACGTTAGCTTGTCGATAAATAAAGTCCTTACTACCAACCTTGGTTAACAGCTTCAAACAATCGTATTACAATTGAACATATTGCCAAGGTTTATCGAATTCGAGCACGAAGTCTTCTGCAAAAAAAGATTGTTGAAAGCATATTTCTGTAATACGGCGGCATTTTTTTGGAAGTAAAAGTCAGCGGGACTGTCCGGATTTTATTAAGTAAATTTTGTTATAACGTACTGCGAACAAAGTAGGTCGATCCAGGCAGTAACCACCGAGAACCAGAATTTCTAATAGTAAAATAGCGAAAAATCATGCGAAATTTCCACTGTTATAAATCTGGTGGTTGGAGATGTCAGCAACTGCGACTTCATAGATTTTGAAGGGCCAGTGTTGTTCTACCAGATAGTAAAAGAATTAGATCGATATGAGCAGTGCTCGCCGAGAGCGAGAATTTTAAAAAATTAAGCGATTTTAGGTTACTTAATGACAGCTGACTTTTAGACTGGTATAAATCTATAATGTGAAGGTGTGCAATGTTGCGACTTTAAAGGTTTTGTAAGGTAAAGATTGCACTATCAGAATATGTTTTAGCCGCACGGACTATTGAAATACCTCCGAGCTCCAAGCTCTAAAAGAAACAGGTAAAAAA